CCCCCGCTGCCTAGGAGAATTGACTCTGCAGAAGCAGGCCGGTGCAGGTGTCTTCTACTTATCCAGGGAACAAAGTTGGATGGTGTGTTGTTCCAGCCCCATAGAGACGGGACTTGGTCCTGTCTCCAGGGTCCCTGTCCCGGCATGGGGACCAATTTCTCATTGCCCCCTGAGTGTAGAGCGTGGGGTCCCTCTGGGTCTCCCCAGGCACCCATGCTGGTCCAGGATGAGCCAGCAAAGCCCTCGGGAAATGGCCAGGGTGACTTCACCCTGCCGCTGTCTCCCTCTCCCGAGCCTCTCAGGTGAACTGGCTCAGCTCCGTGTCTCATCTGCTAGAATATTCATCAGTCCTGCCCCTGACATAAAAACACTACTTTAGAATAAGAGCTTCTAATGTTTGGAAGACAATGGATATTTTTGAGAGTTGCCAAACTCAGTTTTAATGTAAGTCCATTACCTTCATCTCTGTCCCTGAATGTCTGCACCGGAAGCCATTCCACCGGACCCTCCTGGCGATTTGTGGTGGGCAGAATCGTGGTATCAATTTCAGGGCATTATGGAGTAAATGCTGCACCAAATGGGACCAGGACTTAAACCTTTCCCTCTGCAGGTGGACGGATGGAGGCCCAGGTTCCCTGCTGGAGGAGATCTCCATGGGGTCCCTTCTCACCCTCCTTCCTCTCCACCACCGGGCAGGGGTGGGGTGGGTTGCAGCAGGGAGCTGTGGGAGCTCAGGCTTGGGAATGTGCGGTGTGCTCAGAGGGGAGGGAGTGGAAGGGATTAGCTCAGAGGACTGTGCCCGCCTGTGGGCAGTGTGGGATGCTCAGAGCCGCAGCTCAGAAAAGTAATGTAGGGGCAGGTGCGATGCCCTGGAGAGGGCAGGGCTGGGATGGAACAGTCTATGTAAGAAGCAGTGACAGCCTGCCCAGTGACAGTGAGTGTGGCCACCAAAGCCTCCTCTGACCATCTGGCACCTGGCCAATGGAACCCACACTCACGTAATCTGAACACAGTACATTGGGGTTTCCTAAACTTCCTGCCCTGGGCCCCCAGGTCCTGAAAAGGAGACCAGGTACCTAATACAGTGTCTGGAATGTGGCCCCTACACAGAAATATGTTTTATGAGCATGAATGAATGAATGAATGCACACGTCCAGGGAAGCGAAGATAAGAGGGGCATCTCCAGAGTAAGAGAGCCTACAGGCGCGTCGGAGACCAAGTCTGGGTCTGGCACGTTCCTGTCCTATCCCAACAAGGCCTCCAGTCCACACACAGCAGGAGCCTGGTCCACATGTGTGCACACGTCCCACGTAAATACCCCAGAAATTGGTTCTACCTTGTTTTTTGTGACATGCAAGATTGGAGAGTGTCTCTGAGCCCGTGCTCCTCTGAGGCAGATGAAATTCACACCGAGGTGGAATCGGGTCAGGGCTCGTCTTTCGTAAGTGAACAGCTGGGTTCATGCCTTGTCAGAGGAAGCCTGCCTTTGTTTCAACAACCTTTTTTCTATTTAATTAAAAAAATATTTGGCCCTTGCTGGGTGGCTCAGTTGGTTGGAGCATCGTCTTGTCCACCAAAAAGTTGTGGGTTCGATCCCAGTTGAGGAGCCATCAGCTTGCGAGATCTTCAGGAGGACACTACTTTCTGCACAGTGAGGGGGGCAAGAGGGAGAAGAGGTGATTCTTATGGGTCTCTCGGTGCCAGGGATTCCCAGGGCAGCTGGAGGACAGGCAGGGCAGAACCAGAGCTGCCAAGAGCAGACAAGCAGCCGTGGCCACCGGCTTGTCTCTGGAAGGCCCGGCAGGGGGCCTCCTAGTGCACAGAACAGAACAGGGCCGAGGCTCCTAAAAGATGAGGACTGGCCCCTGTGGGCCCTGAGAAGTTACAGCCACCTGCACCTAGTGCCCCTGGGACGAACTCTTGTGCAGATCTTAGCGGCAGAAGGAAAACATCAGTAGTCAATGAGGTGATGCACTGGGAAGGATTTGAATGTGCAAAGTGTGGGTGATACTGTTGACAAGGGCACGGCCAGCGGAGAACAGGAAAGGAGGGAGGCCCGCACTTGGAATGTGAAGACTCGGCTTGAGCCCTGGCTCTGCTGCTCGCTAGCACATGAACTTGGGCCAGCCCTTAGCTCCCCTGGGCTCCCACAGGGCCTGCGTCTGGGTCTGTTACTGCTCACACACAGTGTCTTCTGATCCATTATATATTCTTTTTTTTTAAAAAATATATCTTTATTGATTTCAGAGAGAGGAAGGGAGAAGTGAGAGAGAGATAGAAACATCAATGATGAGAGAGTCATTGCTCGGCTGCCTCGTGCATGCCCCCTGACTAGGGATTGAGCCCGAACCCGGGCCTGTGCCCTGACCGGGAATCGAACCACAATCTCCTGGATGCTAGGTCGATGCTCAACCGCTGANGTGCATGCCCCCCGACTAGGGATTAAGCCCGAACCCGGGCCTGTGCCCTGACTGGGAATCGAACCACAATCTCCTGGATGCTAGGTCGATGCTCAACCGCTGAGCCACGCCCATCCATGCTGTTATATGTTCTTTATATGTCTCCCCCAAAGCCTTGGCCTGAGCATCTTGATGGCAGGGGCTGTGTCTTCATCTCCAGTCTTCCAGTCCCCAGGACAGTGATCTCTCCCAGGTGGGAGGATGCTCTCCCCACCTCTCTCTTGCCCTCTCGCACCTGGTCCCCATCCTCTGTCTTCCTCTGTCCATCCCATGTACTGTGATGTAGAGGGTGGGGACAGAGCAAGCGCTGGGTCCAGGGGCCTCCTCCTCTAGCTCCAAAGCCCGCACTCTTGGTAACGATGCTCTAAGCCGAGGTTCTCAAATGCAAATGGGAGGGCTCCTGGGCCCCAACACCCGAGATTATGATTGGCAGGCGGGGCCTGAGAATCCGGATTTTAAGAAGTTCCCAGGTGACGCCGACATGGGTTTAGGGACCACGCTCTAGGAGCCACCTCTGTGCGGCTTCCTTGTCGTGGGCGTGGACTCTCTCCTCTGGAGTGTAAGGCCCCTGCCCACCTTCAGAGTGGAGGCTGTGGACGCGAGCGCAGGGAGACTCACAGGACAGAAAACGAAATTCACAGGGACACGCTGACACGAAATAGAGCTGGGATAGCTTAGAGCCCAGGAAGGGACTCGATGGGGCTAGACTCTGAATGCAAACCCCTCTGTTGCTCTGGGATTGGGACTGAAACATGTCACCTCCCCCAGGCTCTCTTTGCTCACCTACTCCAAGCCCTGGGCTCATGACCCCTGCCCCGCCAGTTGCCACCATCAAACACGGATGAGTCTCTGCATGGAGGGTGGGAACATTGGTTCAGCAGTTACTGAAGTAAGACTGTAGACCCAAATATATAGTTTTCAGACATTTTGATTTGATTTATGTACCTCAAATGCTAATTTGTATTTACACGATACTTTCATTATGAAATACGCAGCAGTACAGAGATGTGTGTGAATGTGGGGGATTTTTTTTTTAACTGGGTTTATAAATGGTTTGGAACAGGTTGCAGCAACATCATCGGCTGCTCTTTTTAATACATCTTGAGCGTGCTGTGACACATCCCGAAATAATCTGCTTCGGAAAAAAGCACCGCTCTCCCTTCCCCTCCCGAATGTGAGTGTAAATACTACTTTGATGCATGTAATCGCCGCAGCCATCTCCGACTGAGGGATGGCTCCCAACCCTCCCGTCTCCTGCCTCTCGCTATTGTCAAGGAATAAGAGAAATGGGCTTAAAATGCATTATTTAAATGGATTTAATGTAAACATTGAAGTCTGAGAACAGCCACAAATTTTCCTTTGCCTACTGTGGTCCTGGAAATATTTCATTGTTCAGTCTCACAGGCATCCATTCACTCTGCTCTGGAAAACCATTTCTTCCAGCAAATCTCAGGGTCCCAAGAATGCTCCTTGTGCCCAGCACACGGTAGGGAATGAATGCATGTTTGGCGATTGACTGGAATTGGGGTAGGTTAGGATTCGAGAACTGGTGGAGCACACGGAGGCCTCGGGCGGCTCTGGGCACGAACGGCTCCCGCAGCCCTGCTGAGGGGCTGTGGTCTCCCTGCATCCAGGCTCAGGTGGCTGGTCCATGACAGGGCTGGACCTGACTTTGGGACCGGTCTCTTGTCCATGGTTTCAGCACCTTCGCCCTCCATTCCGAGTTTTAACTTGGCCGTGAGCCCCTTGGAGCCAGGACTTGCTTTCATCTCTGCATTTTCAGTAGCCTGTGCAGGTCTTGACATCACAATCGCTCAGTAAATGTCTTGCTCAGTTGGACAAAGAAAAGGAGCCATATAGGCAGGCGGCTCGCTCTAGTCTCCTTGCTCATGAGACCTGGCAGTGGACTCTCGGCCTGACCCACCCATGAGCTATCATCTAAGTCATTCATCGGCTGGAGAATGGAAGGTTCCCTCTTGGTGGCGCCTCTTGGGCTGTTTAGAGCCCTGGAGGGATGATGGAAATAGTCCTGGTCTGAAATGCTATGATTGCTGGGGGTCTTCTCAACCTGCACCTGCATCTGCATCATACATGTGCCGGTAGGTCAGCCACAGCAAGTCCCCTCACGTCACCTCGAAGGTCACTGTCAGCAATGCAGTTCTATCACAATGACTGTGTGCATGCATGCGTGTCCGTGTATGTGTATGTGTGTGTGCAAGAGAGATGGTCAGCTTGTTTGCCACGAATCAATTCTCCCCTCCTCTATTAATCTACAAGAAAACATGCTCACCTGTTTTTGGGCAGAGTGAAGTTCTGGAATTTCAGGTCACTGGATCCTTCTGGCGTTGCTCTTCTATTGCCCCTGGGAGGAAAGAAAATAGATTATAATCAGAAAATAGAAGCTAGGAGTAAAAAATTAAGTGCTTTCATTCATAAAAACAACTGCCTAGTCAGATTTCAGTAATTAACATCTCATACATATTTCCACATTTGTCTTTGCATTTCCATTAGAGTTAAAAAAAATCTGTGGTTTAAGTAATTCAATTACTTTGCATTTTTTGTTTAATGTAAGAGCTTTATTTTACAAGGGGCAGCACCATCTGTGTTAAAGGGTCTCCTGAGATTCCAGTTTGAGTCCAGCGTAGCCAACATGTATCGTGGTCATCTGCATGGTCCTCCACCTGCTGCCACCTGTCACTCTCTGTGTTAGCATCACCATGAACTTTAAGTTGGGCCTCCAGGAGATTTCTTTTTCTTTATACAATCCATGAGACTTAGAGTTCATGGACTTATTTTCTTCTTTATAAATCCACGGGATTTTTTCTCCCTGATATGATCAGGTTGATCAGTCCTGTGATTACCACTTTCTTAGTTTCTGTTACCATGCCCTCAGAAGGACAAGAATATATTGTTATTTTAGCATCTTTAGAGTCATCGCATTACCTTTTGTTTCTTCCCTAAATATTGAGCCATCCTGTATTAGTTACCTATTGCAGTGTATCAATATTATCACAAACTTTAACCACACACATTTATCATCTCCTAGTTCTTGTGGGTCCAGGAATATAGGGAAGGCTTTCCTGGGTCCTCTGTTTTAGGGTTTCTGTGGGGGCTGCAGTCAAGGTGTTGGGCAAGGTTTGGTTCTCATCTGAAAGCTCACCTGGGGAAGGACTGATTCTAAGAATCCTCAGTCGTTGGTAGGATTCAGATTCTTAGGGCCTGTTGAGCTGCAAGCCTCAGTTCTTTGCTTTCTCTTGGCTGCAGGCTGCCCTGTGTTTGGTCACACAGGCCTCCTTAACATGGGCACTTGCTTCATCAAAATGCACACCCCAAGGAGACAAGAGTAAAGTTGCAGTCTTATGGAAAACAATCAGGGATGCGACCTCCCACCAATTTTGCCATAGCCTATTGTTTAGAAGCAGTCTCAGTTCACAGGTAGGGGAGGAGATTACATAGGGAGGGATGTGAGCACTGGGAGGTGAGATAATTGGGGGCCACACATTGCCACACACTCACTGGGAGTATGAGTAGAGATGATCCTTTTGCAACATCCAGAGGTTAAGAAATTTTTGTGTATGTGTGTGTGCACAGATTTACAAACCAAATCAGCTGGAACCTTTCTCCAGCCTATTTTTTAACCTTCTATGACTCCTAAAAATGTCAGGCCAATTTTTGAAAGTTTTTCAGCTAATTCTGGAAGATTCCAGCAAATACCAGAATAAACTGTTTCTCCAACTCTTGCCTAGGAGAGACCATTATAATCATTTCTGCAGCCGAATGCTGTACTTCTAACTCCCTTAAAATAGTCACCCCATCAGCTGTCACAAACAACTTCTCCAAGTGACTGACATCCATTTGGTTCATTCTGTTTGGTCCCTAAGTGGTATGAGTGGTTATTTTCCTGTACACGGCTTTTTAAAAATGTAGCAAATGCTTAGCACTCTCCCAGAGCACCTGAGCAGAGCTCAATTTCTTGGGAATTTGATGTGTCAGAGCCTGGATACTGGGTACCTTCTATGTGTTTGCACCGCTGAACTCAGAAAAAATCGATGGGCATGCACAGTCTTCTTGCCTCATGCATTTTTTAAAAAAGTTTAAATTTGAATATATTCATATAGGGTTTATTTCCTCCAGCTCATAAAGCCCCACCACTTACTCCTACTGCCTTACATTTTCATATGAGCTAACTGGCCCCAAAGTTTTGAGCTGGTGACTCTTCCCAGGGGAACATCCACTCAGAAATGAGTTGACCACAATGAGATGTTTTAATTACCACCCTTCACCCATTCTCACCTTCGTGATGGTTAATCCTATGTGTCAGCTTGGCTGGGCTGTGGTGCCCAGGTGTTTTGGGTGACGGCCCCTTTTCTAAGCCCCCAGCCCCATTCTGGACTCCTTTCCTTCCATGCCCTTGTCAACAGCCCCTGAAAGGCTGTCTCTGGTCTTGGGAACAAAGCCTCTGACTCGAGTCCTTTACTGACCTGAGATGAAATTGGGAAGTAGACCCTGGTGCCAGCCTCAAGTCAGATAGTTGTTGAGTAGCTGCTATGCGCTGGACATTGTACCAGGACTGGGCACACAGGTAGACAGGGCACAAAGGTCCCACTCTCAGGAAATCAGCAGCCAGCTGCGAGGGAACAACGCCAGCGAGAAGGGGCTCGTCCCCTCTGTCACAGCTTCTTTCCCCCAGCGTCCTACCTTTGCTTACTCCCAATTTCAATGGCTGCCAGGCTTTAGGCCCGTCCACCCGACCCTGAGCTGGCCTTCTTTTGGGCACAGCTCTGACAGCTGCCTGTTGGATTTACACCTGGCCGGGAGGTAGCCCTCACCGACCCTCCCTCAGGCCTCTCAGGTCCCTCCTCCAGCTTTGCTGGACTCAGAGAGAGGCTCAGCTTCTCTATAGAAATGGATCAGGCTTCGGTTTTCAGGGGTTGCCACCCACATGGTCAACCTCAGTGTACACATGTCCCCCCAAACCCTGGGTTCC